TTATAATAAAAATCTGTGAACAAGGGAGAAGAGGAAGAGGGGGGGGAGAATGCAGATATATTGAATTACGGGCGGGGCTGACATTTAATTCAACATGTTCATATATCTTTATCCAATCTATGTATACTTCATTATATAAAACTACAATACATAATCAATAATTGTACATGGTTTTTATGTACCGTAAAGTGCACTATTTATCATATCTGTCCATAGACAGTGGGAAACAGAATACAGTGGAATTTGTGTCTTTTTTTTTGTTGTAATTTCCTACTGAACAATTTATGAACAAAGTGACCTGAAAATCTCTTGAAAACATAATCAGGTGCCAGTTACAAAATCCTCTGGAAGAACGAAGAATACGAAATTTCTTCCGTATTTTCTGGTTCTCACTGTATCATTGTTCATATACATATATCACTGTAATTCACCCTTTTTATTTTACATTTTACAAATAGTAAAAGTCTCGAAATATAATAAAACCCCTGACTAATGTTTCCATCATGTCTGAGGAATACAAACATAAAATTTTATGTTTTGTCGGAATGGTTAAAACGTGGTAATTGGTATACAGTATGGTTTTAAACAAAAGATACACCTATATTTAGCTCATTTCAAGATTAGGGTAGAACTTTCCTATTTTCTAGCTTTCTTTCAACTCACTACATTGTTTTCAAGGTGTTATATTTGTGACAAACTATTGATGAAACTGATTGATAATTCTCAACACTGATATCTATAGGCAACAATGAAAGTTATTCATCAACGGTTTTGGCCTCATCAAGTCACTTATACTTTTTGGTAGCCCTAGGAATATTCATTCTAAAACGGTCTTGTTCTAGATTTAGTTGAATAATACTGCTCGATTATAAATATTAAATCATTATAAATTATGATTATAAATATTAAATTCAATAAAACTTCTTAGATTATCATTTGTTAATACTTAAGCTTGACAAGATTTGCACATAATTTCCACAAATTCTTAAATCACGCTTAAGATTTGTTTATACATTTGCTTACTAGAATTTCTTTTATATGTATTCGATGAACAGTCTTTATTTAGTCTTTCGTCTTATTTATAGGTCTTATTTCCTTAACATTAAATTATGTTAAATCTCATCCATTATTTTAAATCAAGTATTCTTAAATTTAATTTAATTTCACACAAAGTAGTTTTACCTCTTAGTCACTTACTAAAAAGATTTAATTCATCTGTAACTATACAGGTTTAATCTCTTACTATGTATGTTTATTTTTTTATGGGATTAATCGTTAAGTTGCTCAAATTGATATGAAGGTTAAATTTACTCCGACAAGGTTTGAGCTAATCATAACTTATTCTTGATATTTTGGCACAAGAAAACACTCTGTAGAGTATATATATACATATTTGAATATGATACCTTACTATTCTTACACGCATATGTAATATGTATAATGTAATACATATATACAGGGTTACCCACAATACAATGGCGTACTAAACTATTTGGCAAAGAAAGAAACAAGCTTAGATATACAGGGGATCATTAATAAAAGAAAATAGACAGTTTACATTCCGTACAGTCGTCTTTTAAGTCTCATTATTTATGTGCAACCCTGTAGATACATGTATTTACAGCTACACAAAATTTTGGTTATTAAATGATAGATGCTAACTGCAGACGTCTCTAGGTTCACGACAAAACCCCAAAAATATTAAAAAGTTAATAATTTTCAATTATTTTTCTTTATTATATAATTTGGAATAATTAAAAAAAAACTATTTTTTTATGTATTTTAGTTAAATTAGGTTTCTAACGAAATTATAAGCTTAATATTTATTGGCACTCAGTTCATTTCAAGTACAAGTCCGACTTTTAATCAGCTAGAGCAAGCAGTACAGTACAAATACGGACATATAAGGAAAAACGGGACTCTACGTCACACCGGACTAACCAGAGTGCACGCAGCATTCGGTTTCTTCTATTTGAAATCAAACGAGTTTTGGTCTTTAATTCAATAATCATTTACTTTACAGATTTGTTAATTTTATACATTATCATTCAAAATGCATATGCCAACAAAAAAGTATTTGATAGAAAAGGCTAACAAATATATTATGTATTTTGGGTCAAATTTTGATCGAAAGTCACAGCTTTCTGGAATATTAACAGAACCGTTAAATCCACGTGACGTAAGAGTAATGATCCTCTTCTAGTGAATTTTATGTGACTAAACCTATCTGTAAACTATGAGGAAAGAGGAAACGGAAATAGATTCCGACAAACTTAAATATCTTTATATCCTATATATCCTGTGCAATGTCCATTATTCTGTCTCATTTCTTCTTCATAATATTGTGGAGAAACTTATTAGTTTTTGTAATATCCATTGTTCAAAAAAATTTCTGTAGATTTTCTAGAATTTTTTTTGAGAAATATGTTCCTAAACATCTAATTAGTTTACTATAGAATTTTTTTTAATAAAATTTTTCGTCGTCTTTATTTAATAATAAAAAAATCGATTCCCAAAACGTAACCACCCAAAGGGATGATTTTGAACGTCGACGTTGCGCTAAATCTCAGTAATTATACGTTATTAAAACGTTTTCTATGTCTCAAATGAATCCTAAAAAAAAGTCTTCAAAATACTACATTTTCAGTTCAACTCCTGTACATTGACGGTCACTCCCTTTAACAAAATTGTCTTCGAGGTCTTTTCTTTCGTGTGTAAACCTTAATTTCAAATAGCATGTACATTTTGCCTTTTAGTTTATCATTTCTAAATCCGGATCATTTAACGTGCCGGACTGACGTTTAGGCGCGCAGCTAGAACAAATTGTACAGAATGTACGTACGTTCATATATATATATTCAGACTTTAGACTACAGAACAGGACGGTGCACCAAGTGAACTATACGCTTCTGTTCTAGCGAGATTAATGTGATTTGTTCTGAAAATTGAAGTTATTGTAGCTTTTTTTTTTTGAAAAACTGATTTTTGAAATTCAAAGAAAACTAATTATGTTCTAAAATGCAGGAGATATCGACGCTTCAGCAATGTCAGTGACGCAGTTTCTAGAAAGCTTTCGACAACCATAGGCTGGAGAACGGTCAGCATACAGGAGGTTGTTACACAGGTGCATATAGTGATCGTCGTTTTGAGCTCCGTTTTTAAACAGTTAAAGTTTTTAAGACTTTTAGAGGTATCACACACTTCTGTTATGTAAATCTTGTATCAAAATTGCATGTTGATCAAGTGTTTATTTTTACCAAAGATATTTATCAAAACGATAAGTAAAACGATAAGTAAAATCTTTTTCCTTTTCCGTTTTGAAAAACCGTTTTGGTTAATATCTTTGAATTGAGAAAAAATTTCACATTGTCCGAAATAACTCAAATATTTGTTAAGCTCTTTAAATAACAAAAATCCGCAAATGTCTGAAAACGGATCCGCAAAATGATGCCAATCACTAGTCGTCCTACAAATAAAATTGATGATTAATATCATAATCACAAGATAGTAACTAGACAAAACTTGATAAAAAATTAACCAAGAAAATTACCTTGTCATTCCTGACAAGCATTGCAGGTTCGTAGGTGTATCTATAGATCTACACAACATAGGTTTAGACAAACATTATAAATAATAATTGGATGTAGGGGTACCATAAAACATTTTTGTTTGATTTTCATATGTCTAGATCTGTTTTATTCGAACTATATATATATTGTAGTGTGGTATAGGGTAAATTATATATATATATTGGAGTGTGATCCTTGTAAGTTACATAGGAAATGTACTGTGGCGCCTGTAAATTACGTATAATTTGTAGCGTTGTGCACGTTAAAAAAATATAATTTTTATCAGTGCGTGTATTAAGTTTGACTTGATGATCTAGTGCATATACATGAAGGTTACTCCAAAATATCGTAAAATACAGATTAAATAAATCCAAGCCCGGGGTTTTTTAATAACTTTATCAACCTTGAATACAATTTTCAAAAATAAACTATTTTTGCAGTAGTTCACGGACAAATTCAGAATTGAAAATACTACCAACAGTTCACAGAACCAGATCAAAGATCCTTCTTCAAACCTAAGGATTCGGAATCAAAAGAAAGGATTGGATTGACATCCTAGGATTCAGAACGTGTAGAAGAGGATTATATTCTAGAAAAGAGAATCCATATTGGATTAAAGAATACTAATAATATGGATTCTCCAGGGAGTGCTAGGTAGGAATTATCTTAATATATGTTTTAGTTTGTTTTTATGCAATAAACGCCAAAACACCTTCATAATTGCAGAATATTACCCCTTCGAAAATTGCTGAAGTAAGAAATTTTGCATATACAAAACATTTATTGAAATTTATTTTTAGCAATCCATCAACAAAAAAATCTGCAAAATCCTAAATTGTTAGCATTTAATAATGTAAAAAGAAAATTGTTCTTTAGTAAAAGAAACAGTAAAAATTAAGTAATTTTTGTTTAACCACGTTTTTTCTGTAGCAATCTATCTGATTACTAACCCTGACAAGCAAAACCATTAAAATACCTGAACTTAGAAATGTCTTCTGTAAAAAATGTCAAATCTCCTTGACATGATGTGACTCTCTTGCTAAGAATCATTNTTCGAACACATCTAGATGATGTTTATCCGGACATATCTAGCTCTGTTTTATTCGAACACATCTAGATGATGGTTATCCGGACATGTCTAGATCTGTTTTATTCGAACACATCTAGATGATGTTTATCCGGACATGTCTAGATCTGTTTTATTCGAACACATCTAGATGATGTATATCCGGACATGTCTAGATCTGGTTTACCGGACATGTCTAAATCTTCTTTATCTTTGCAATTAATAATATTGTATCTCCAGGTACAGAAGAAAACTATCGTTGGAATCTCCACGTATTAGAAGATTGAGTCCTCAACCTCAACAGGTTCACAGGTAGACATCTTCATCCTTCATCCTGGCCTATTCTTTTTTAAACATCGATGGTTTTTGGGAATCTTGAGGCTCTAAAAATTCCGAAACATTAATGATATCCTAAACTATTATGCTCTGCTTTAATATAAATGCACGATGCATAATTTTTACACAAACAAAAAGTAAAAAGCTAACGAAGCCCAAGCAATCGCTTTGTCAGCGTTTTCCGCAAATAATCACCAATTTAAATTGGACATTTAATAGAACATTTTTCTAAAATCATCAGAGTTAAATATTTTTGAGACTTCCAGTTTATAACATTTTATTACAGTCGTATAAACTATTTTTGCAATAGTTAAAGATAAAATAAAATTAATGTTTCTTAGAGTTTTGAAATAAGATGTCATTGAATTAAGTTCCAATAAATTCAGGAAAAAAGCATCAAAGTTTATTTGATTATTATTGTCATTTGTTTGTCGACAAATTCAAGACACAAACTTTAATCGAGGTTTTAAATCTTTCTAAAAATTTTAATTATTTTTTATAGCTTAATTTATTTCATATGAAAAACATTAGGCGATTCAAATATTTAAAAAATATTAATTTTTAATTACATAAAATTTCAAAGTTCTAAAACTTTTATGACTGTAAAATTCGAGCTTTGTAAATGGGTTGGAATACATTTAAAAATTTGACTGAGTTTGACTATGGGACTGGGAACTCTTATATTGTGGATATCTCGCATGGTTATTGTACCTTACAGGAATAACTAAACCGAAGAGATTAATCAATAATCCTTAAATTAAAAGTGCCCACAGTGGATATCGATCCAACACAACAGTTCCCAGCTCAGAATCCATAATCTTTATATGCATCTTTCATTAAGTTTAAAGTGCACAAATGCACTTTCAGGTTTATTTCTTTAAAATCTTTACTGCACTAACCAACCTTTATTGTATTAAATGGTATATATAGTGTAATGTAAAATATACATAAAAATTTCTATATTGCAATATTTTCTGAGGAACAAGCACGTTCTCTGATGGAACAAAATACAAAAATGAGGAACCGTTTTTAGCTTTTTTTATTTGAAAAAATGTAATTATTATTTTTCTCTTATTGTAAACGCCAAAAATGATGGTTTAAACTCTAAATTAATGAACTATGCAAATTTTCTGAATTTTTTTAGAAGCTTGTTTTCAATCAATAAAGGAATAAACTGATTACTTGTCCCAATATATAATTTTCATCTTTGCGAACCGAGAGCCGTTCATATATTTCAAACTATGAATTATCTAGATCAAATACGCAAAGTTTGAAGAATTAAAGATGTAAATATAAAAGTTGCACCGCTAAAAATTACGGTTAAACGTGAGAAATCAGCTCTTTTTTTAAATGATTGATAAAATAGTTTATGAATACACTAAATGGGACAGCTAAGATATAATATATTAATATTAAAACTGTAAAAATACAGTCAACTTAAAAAAACAGCCTTTATATTGCATTAAACTGAATCTTGTAACAGTTAGATGATAAATATTCTTTGCTAGAATATAAAAATTATTGTAAGTGTAGAAAATCTTTTTCTGTATTGTTATAATCGTCTGGTCTAGTCTTCTACGACGATTTAAAATAAACATTTTGGACGATCTTAATATGCTGCTTTATTCTAGTATATTTGCCTCAGATTCTTATATTTTTTGTACTTTTAATCTGGAGTTCAATCTAGAATATTCTATTAATTTTAATTCAGATTGTCAAGATCCCGGAAGATGTCGTTTCCGGCAACAACCGGTCAGCAGGGGTCAACTTCCGGTCAGGACATGGCAGACGCAGCCAGGTATAAAAAGATTTTAAACATGAGATAGCGCGGACTGGATTCCTTAAATTAATGTGCGTGACATTTAAAACACTTCGATATTTCAAGAGAGAAAAAAATTTTCAAAATAAAAAAACAACTCACAGATTACAAAGATAATACAATCGTTGTAATTGTTATCTCATTAACTCCTAAAAGTTAAAACCATTTCAAGTGGCCTTTCATATAAAGATCTGCATGCCAGATTCAAAGCTGTTTCCCTTAACATTTTATCTGAGTAACACTAAGGAAGATATCATCGTTTTTCAATCTGGAAAAGTATTGAATTCTGAATTTCTTTCATTGTCTATGCTGCAAAACTCCGGAAGTCACGAGTATAGACAAGCAATATAAAACAAGGATATATCTTTATGAATTTTACCATGACAAATTTAAATTAAATTACAAATTAAATTACAAATTTAAATTATATCTTTGATCAAGCTGCTCCTGTCCTAGCTGGGTTTTCCATAGTCTATTATAAACATCTTTGATCAAGCTGCTCCTGTCCTATCTAGGTATTCTATAGTTTATAATAAAAATCTGTGAACAAGCTGCTCCTATCCTATCTAGGTATTCTATAGTTTATAATAAACATCTTTGGTCAAGCTGCTTCTGTCCTATCTAGATATTCTATAGTTTATAATAAACATCTGTGAACAATAAACGTATTGATTTGTCACTTAAGTATATAATATAGATACACAACCCGGGATTAGAACACTGTTTAAACATTGGGGAAGAGAGGGGGGGAGGAGATGGGGTAGGAGATGGGGTAGGTACACAGAGATCCAGACAGCTATAAAAGGTTGCATCAATTTTCAAGACTGGGTGTAGTTTAATGTGCAGCAACGCCTTAGTCTTTGAGATTATCTTACTAACTAACTTTTACTTTTTTGTACAACTTAGAACTATAAAGAATTAGATTTTAGTTACTGAGAAGCAATTCGCAAATTTCTTATAGCTTTTTTGTGTAAAATATTGCAACCTTTAAATCACTGTGGGTATTGACTATTGATCCAGGCTGGATGTATTTACTTAGTCCTCGAAGTGTTTAGTTCAAGTCAATATGTTGAAATAATCTGTTGTTTAACATGCTACTAGCCAATACCTTCAGGTCATTTCTTTACTTGGAACTTTGGGCAAACTTAATCAACCCACCCCNCATAATTAAAAATTGGTTTTTAATTATCTGGTTGAGGGGGGGGGGTTGGATTCCGACCAGGGGGGATGATAGTTCTCTACCTGTGTGCTCAGTTAGCTGTACTGTACACTTACCTGTTTACTAAAATTGATATACTATAGGTTAGGCCAGAATCATCTTATAATAAACAAATATGAAGTACGCTCTCGGTATAGTTGATGGCCAATTAGTAAAGGATTTGAGTACATCATCACTCTATACACTATAACCTCGTTGGCTTTATTATATAAATGATCTAAGTTCTATAAGTAAAATATATCCTAAGAAGAGGTAGAACTAAGAACAGGATTAAAGGGATTGTTTAATGTTTACTTTAATAGGACGTAATACGTTTTATTGAAAACAAACAACATTTAGTAAAGACTGATTTCTTGTGCCCGGGGCCGGTCATTCGCACTCTAAGAAATGTCAAATTTTAATCTGGTCGAATTAAACTTAGTATAGCTCGATTCTTAAATGTTGATGAACGTTTAATTTAATTCAACAAAATTTAACGAATAATGCTCCTAAGCTGAATTTGGCTCCGAGCCTACGGTGCTCCAACAAATTTTGTTAGGATAAAAATTTGACATTCATAACAGTGTATTACTACTTATAGGATTAAACTAAGCTGATTAATTATAATTATATAAATTATAATATTTGTTATTGTTCACTTTAAAAACTAGCTCATATCTGTCCTGAATCGTCAAAGTAAACTGTAAACAACTTATATTTTTAGTTAAAGAAGTTTTAAAGAATATAATGATGAAGCAAGAACAAGGCTCATTAGTTTAAAACGTTCACACAAACAATACAGTGTAACTAACTGTGACAGGATTAAAACCAAGCACAAGAAAATTATTATCAAGGACGAAGTAAATAATTTAATCTAAGAAAGAAGAACACCAACAGAAATTGACTCTACATAGTTTTTGAAGTACTATTCTAGGAAACCCAGCTCTAACTGGAAACCCTCTGAACTTAGAATCTTTAAACCCAGCTAAGAACGTTTCTCTTCCTAGTTCCCCAATCAAATTTTTAGGAAAATAGGTCCAGGGGTTCCTGAGTTCTGAAGGGACATACAAACGAACAAATACACAAGCAGAGATCACTACTTTATACACATAGATAACTCGTAAATTAATAAATGCCATGAACATTTCTCAGTACCCTTAGATCCTTTTTTAAAAATTAAACTTTATAAAAATCACGGCTCTTTTTCTGATTGCCAATGCTGTAAATCCATTTTTTTGTTTAGTCAAAGAGTATGTGCGGTCAACACATACGTGCTTGGTTGAAGCGCAGAAGTCTGTTCAACAAGCGCCTCGGTCTTCAAAGACTAAAAAGCGTATCCAACCTCCCTGGCAGTATGGCGGTCTGTGATGTTTTTGTACAGTTAGAAGCCCTCTCGTTAGAGATGGAAAGACGACATCCAAAACTTTATACCGGAGTTTGCAACCAGATGGGGTTGACTGTGGCGAGTGAGAAATCCATGGCGAAGGCGTTAAGTTCCATGGCGCTGGAGATATTTAAAGTTGATATTACATGGTTTAAGATTGCCAGCTTTTATAATCTTGTGAGTGGAACTGCAGTGGATTGTGTGAAACAAGGCCATCCAGGAAAATACAACTTGACGCCATTCATATCTTATTTAAAACATTTTATGGACTAACTATCTGTCCTTGAAATTATATTGTTATAACACTTTTATTAAATTTTAATTTAACCGATCTAATTTTTCAAAGTTTCAATGATATACAATTGACAGTTGGTTCCCTGATTTTTAAAACAAGAAAAAACTGGTTTTTGTACACAGTCAAATTTTCTAACCCCTTTCTCTTAGCAAGCCAATGTCGTAGACCTTTTATATTTCAAACTATGAATTATTTTAAATAAAATAAACTTTGAAATATCAAAGGTTTCCATCATCAATTTGAAAAATATAGGATAAGAAATTTTTTGTGTCAAGAACTCAAGTCTTTTCAGAAAAAATAATTTCAAAAAATAGTTCTTGATAATAACAACAAAATAGGAAACAATAAAAAACATTAACTTTCCTTCATTAAAAACAATAATTGCCTCGATTATAATCTCATTTCTTTTTCACTTTTTTAATTTTTCACAAATGTATAGTGAATACCATTAAAAGTCAAATGCTATTAAGTCATAAATTAACTTTTTTAAATTTTAAAATCGAAATTTCATTTTTGAATGGCGGCTTAAAATTGTTATTGTGTAGAGTATTTGTATGGTTTGGTTGAAGCTGCAGGGTTGGTTATAGAACGTGATGTAGCAAACTGGATTGCAAACCAAGGAGGCTGGGTAAGGATGATTTAATTATTCTTAGACCCGCCCACCCCCCGGCCCCCCTCCCCTTGTTAAGAGTTTATGCTTTACACAAACATGCCATGGTTTTCATCCTTGTATTCCTGGTATTTGCATTAAAGTTTAAACACTGGGATTCCATGCATGGACCATAAACTGATATATTATCCAAACCACCTTCATTATATCACTGGGGTTCCATGCATGGACCATAAACTGATATATTATCCAAACCACCTTCATTAGATCACTCCTTACAATCCTTAAAATCTTAATCCTTGGATCGTTGAAGCAATCCATCAAATCTTCATCAAAATTGGATCACTAGATCTAGCGATCCTTTAAATCTTTATCCTTGGATTCCTGGATCCTAGCAATCCTTTTAAACTCTATCCTTTTATCCTTGGATTCTAGTAATCCTTTAAATCTTTATCCTTGGATTCCTGGATCCTAGCAATCCTTTTAAACTCTATCCTTTTATCCTTGGATTCCAGTAATCCTTTAAATCTTATCCTTGGATCTCTAGAGATATTAATCTTTTGAGAGATCCTTAAAATCTTTATCCTTGGATTCCTGGATCCTAGCAATCCTTCACATTTTTATCCTTGGATCCATAGATCCTTTAAATCTTAATCCTTTGATCCTGGATGATGCTGGAATCCTTAAAACTTTATCTTTGGATCCCTGGATTCTATCAATTATTTAAATCTTTATCCTTGGATCCTAGGATCAAAGCATTCCTTTACATCTTTATCCTCGGATTCCTGGACTCTAGCAATCTTTTAAATCTTTATCCTTGGATCCCTGGATCCTAGTAATCCTTTCAAATTTTATCCTTGGATCCCTGGATCCTAGTAATCCGTTCAAATTTTATCCTTGGATCCCTGGATCCTAGTAATCCTTTCAAATTTTATCCTTTGATCCCTGGATCCTAGTAATCCTTTCAAATTTTATTCTTGGATCCCTGGATCCTAGTAATAATCGTTTCAAATTTTATCCTTGGATCCCTGGATCCTAGTAATCCTTTCAAATTTTATCCTTGGATCCCTAGATCCTAGTAATCCGTTCAAATTCTATCCTTGGATCCCTGGATCCTACAAATCCTTTCAAATTTTATCTTTGATTCCTGGATCCTAGTAATCCTTTAAATCTTTATCCTTGGATCCTGGTATCCTAGCAATTCTTTAAATCATCCTTGGATCCTAGCAATCCTTTCAAATTTTTTCCTTGGATCCCTGAACCCTAGCAATCCTTTAAATCTCTATCCTTGGTTCCCTGGAGTTTGCAATCCTAAAAATGAAGGCGTGCAGCGCGAATTAGATTTTCTGCACATTAAGATTGAGGCACAAATGTTCGTCTAAGGCAGGCAGGCGTAAAAATTAATTTTTCTCAATTGAAATTAATTTACAAATGTTTAATTGCCTTAACGATTTTGTTATTCTTTATTTCTTCCCCACTCCCTCTTTTCTTTCCCCTGAACTAACTCAGTTTTTTTCTCATCTCATTTTAAGCTTTACAATTGCCTATTCCCGTCATTCCTTTTATGGATAGTGGGTGCACTATTAAACCAAATACGGGGAGTTTATGGAAGCATTGTAAAATATTTACCTTCTAGGGCACAGAGGTGGTATTGTTTAGTGATTCAAGAGAGAAGGAGGGGGGGGGGGTCCAGGGCCCCAAGAGGAAAGAAGGGTGGGGTCCAGGGTTCTTGGTTTATTAAATGATGCATTAAATACAATCTTGGAGGTACTGTTTGGTGTGTAAGCCTGAACCGGAGAAAAACGTGGATTTTAATGTTAAAACTTCGGATAGAGTTGAATCTCTGTCGGGCTGTAAAGATTCCTAAGTTTATAAAAAGTAATCCCCCCTCTCCCTGTTCCCCCCCCCCATCCCCCAAGCTGGTAGAGATTTAGCTTAGAAGTGATTTTAACGAGGTTTGCTGAATGCTGGTATTGTATCCAAACCATACTTTTTTAATATATTTTACACATGCGCAGTCCTCATTCTCCTTTTTCTTATTATTATCCTCATCTTCAGATCCTGTCTCCCATATTTTTCTGATCCAATTTGCATAAAGTAAGAACAAGAAAACTTCTTCTTTGTTCTTACTTTAACTTTAAATATTTAGAGAATTTCTGCTGTTATTTGTTGGCACTGATATTTAGATAGTTCAGTGGACTAATGTTTTCTAGTTATCACGTTAATCCTCTTTTACTCTCCATCCTTCTGCATTAACATAATTAGACCAAGTGTTCAAGAACCAGCTTAAAATAAAAAAACAGTCATTATGTTAATGTTTAGAACAAAAATAAGCATATTTAACAAGAGGCGTACCAAAGCTGTCAAGTCTAAATGTTAATCCATAGTAGTAGTATTTGTTACAAAATGCCAATATGTTTCAATGTTACAGCTCTTCTTATCAATTCATGTTCATCTTCTTAAAGGGAACAAAAGTTGTAATTGAAGTGAATTTTTCCATTTAAAAAATGAGTGGCATGTCCAATTTACAACAGTACCCTTTAAACCTTTTCGTTGTTCTCTCTTGAAAAGTGTTTAATTCTGATGATTTCCTCTTTTTTTCTAAAGTAGAAGTGCAAAATGTACCTTGAAGAAACCTCAATTAGAAATAAGATAAGGAGATAGTGAATACTTCTTGCATTCCTGATCAGAAACAATTTTATGGGTACCATTGTACATATATCGGATATGTACCATTGTACATATATCGGATATGTACCATTGCCATTGTACATATATCGGATATGTACCATTGTACATATATCGGATATGTACCATTGTACATATATCGGATATGTACCATTGTACATATATCGGATATGTACCATTGTACATATATCGGATATGTACCATTGTACATATATCGGATATGTCTCTTTAAATATAAATAAAGAGTTACTTGAAAATAACGTCTAATATGGGAATGAAACCATAATACAGTGATTTTATAATAAAAACAAAACAATTCTAAATTTATAGAATTCTGGGGTTTCTTAAATGTGGCTTATTTTTTAACCAATTGAAAAGGTTTGCTTTGAATTTATGGTTAAACATTAAAGCTCCTTAAAATGAGAAGAATCGAAGAAAGATATCCAGCTTTAAATTGGAAAATGTCACATCTCAAATATGTTTGAAAAACTGTATAACTAGTTCAGGAGGAGGGGTGTGCCCACTAGCCATGCATTGAAATCTCTGAAAGCCTGTAAATAAATCCTGGACGTTTATTGAGCATAAAATAAAGAGTTTGAGTTCCAGGTTTAAGAATTGAGAGCAGAGACCAACACGGAGTAAATATTCCTCAGACATTTATTTCTCTGAAACCCATTGTTTATTTTCATATCTTTCTATGCAGCGTTGAAATCCTTACATTTCGCAATCTACAGGGGGTTCGAATAAAAATGTAATATATTTTTATTCCAGGTTGCGATCCTGTCTAAATACCGAACTCCTGAGGATAGCAGTGTGTTCCAGATGATCGCGCTGTCTGTCGTCGGTCTGATCGTTTTTCTCGTCGCGTTCGCGATTGTTTTAAAGACAATAGGAAATTTGTTTTTCTTTTACCAATCCTAGCAGTTCTCCTCTCAACCAGTCAAAGTAGTTCTCCTCTCAACCAATTCTAGCAGTTCTCCTCTCAACCAGCCCTAGCAGTTTTCCTCTCAACCAGCCCTAGCAGTTCTCCTCTCAACCAGTCCTAGCAGTTCTCCTCTCAACCAATCCTAGCAGTTCTCCTCTCAACCAATCCTAGCAGTTCACCTCTCAACCAATCCGAGCAGTTCTCCTCTCAACCAATTCACGCAGTTCTCCTCTCAACCAGTCCGAGCAGTTCTCCTCTCAACCAATCCTAGCAGTTCTCCTCTCAACCAATCCTAGCAGTTCTCCTCTCAACCAATCCTAGCAGTTCTCCTCTCAACCAATCCTAGTAATTCTCCTGTTTTTCCAGTTACGTTGTGATTTCATACTTTTACTATATATAAATCCTTAGTTAGTTAAATGACAGAATCTAATAATACTTGAGGAGCAAGTGTGAAAAGATGCCAACAGATGGATCCGATATTATAAAGATCAAACAGTTTTTGGCAAATCCAGAGTTTATCTTGTCAAACTTAATTATATTATGTTAGTTATTTATTTATGTCACACAGTTTATATTTGTTGTTAAAAATATAAATGCATTATTTAACAGTTGCTTAGTGGCAAGTTAGTATAATCTAATATATTTATATATTTATTTAATGAAATGACAATGATATTTACGGACGAGCTGTAATGTAAACTGAAATATCTCGATCCATATTTTTTCTTTCATGCCAAAGTGATTTTTTACATAAACAAAAACAACATGTGAAGAATATATTTATTGGTAAATGCAGGGTGAGTCATATTACACTGGATTGCACATGATATTATTATATATGTCCAATGTCTATTTTTCAAAATCCAAACCAACATACTTCTAAATCCATCTAAATTAAACAGGAAAAACAACATAATAGATATCCCCTCCCCCCCATCCCCTTACTAAATCTAGCCCCCACTTTCTATAGCTACTATCTACCCCCCCCTTCCCCTTACTAAATCTATATAGCTAGGGTTAAGCAGAAATACCATAATGTACGGCCCCCACCCTTCACACCACCTAGCTAGGGTTAAACAAAGATAACATGATTTATATCCATACCCCCCCACTCTTCCTTCTACATCTAGCTAGGGTTAACATAGCTATCTTAATGTATAGCCATACCCCCTCTTCCAAATCTAACCCCCCCCATCCTTCTACATCTGGCTAGGGTTAAAGAGATATCATAATGGATTTCAATCCCCCCCCCTCTTCCACACTAATAAAGGTTAAACAGAGATAACATGATGTATATCCACCCTCCCCACCCTTCTACATCTAGCTAGGGTTAAACAGAGATAACATGATGTATGCCTAACTCCCACTACTGGTTGTAAGTCTTGAATTGAGTATTTAATGTTAGGTTCGGATATAAATGATAGCTTTATTTAGTTAGAAGGTTCTACCATATATCAAACCTGCGGCTGATCAGCTCGCTGATACAATCAGTTTATCAACCCTTATCTAGTGTATACGGTATACTGTAGTGTATAGGCCTAACTATCCTATTCAGGCAGTAATAGAGGAGTACTCAAATGATCCCAAGAAAGGAAAGCTTCAATGATTAGTTTTTGTTCAACCAAATAATGAAGATATGATTCTTCCTATAGAACAAGATTTCTATAGTCCGACAAGCAAGATATAATACACCCCATCTACCAAAATATCTTTAGTACCAAGATATAATACGTCCAAGGACTAAGATTTCTTTAGTCCGACAAGCAAGATATAATACGTTCATAGACCAATATATCCTTAACCCTACAAGCAAGATATAATACGCCCATAGACCAATATATCTTTAGTCCTACAAACAAGATATAATACGCCCATAGACCAATATATCTTTAGTCCTACAAACAAGATATAATACGTCCATAGAACAATTGATAATTTTATGTCTCTAGTTTAACACGGATTAAATATTTAAGTTCTGTCTCCAGTATCACGTTGATGTATCTAAGAACCAGGATTAAAGGTTTAAGCTTTATCTCCGGTATCATGTTGATGTATCTAAGCACCAGGATTAAAGGTTTAAGTTTTATCTCCGGTATCATGTTGATGTATCTAAGAACCAGAATTACAGGTTCAGATTCTATCTCCGCTATCATGTTGATGTATCTAAGAACTAGGATTAAAGGTTCAGGTTATATCATGTTGATGTATCTAAGAACCTGGATTAAAGGTTAAGGTTCTATCTCTGATATCATGTTGATGTATTTAAGAACTAGGATTCAAGGTTCAGGTTCTATCTCTGATATCATGTTAATGTATCTAAGAACCAGGATTAAAGGTTCAGGTTCTATCTCTGAAATCATGTTGATGTATCTAAGAACCAGGATTAAAGGTTCAGGTTCTATCTCTGATATCATGTTGATGTATCTAAGAACCAGGATTAAAGGTTCAGGTTCTATCTCTGAAATCATGTTGATGTATCTAAGAACCAGGATTAAAGGTTCAGGTTCTATCTCTGATATCATGTTGATGTATCTAAGAACCAGGATTAAAGGTTCAGGTTCTATCTCCAGTATCATGTTGATGAATCTAAGAACTAGCATTAAAGGTTTAGGTTCTATCTCCAGTATCATGTTGATGCATATAAGAACCAGGATTAAAGGTTCAGTTTTATCTTTGGTATCATGTTGATGTATCTAAGAACCAGGATTAAAGGTTCAGGTTCTATCTCTGATATCATGTTGATTTATCTAAGAACTAGGATTCAAGGTTCAGGTTCTATCCCTGATACCATGTTGATGTATCTAAGAACTAGGATTAAAGGTTCAGATTCTATCTCCGGTATCATGTTGATAAATCTAAGACCAGGATTAAAGTTTTAAGTTTTATCTCCGGTATCATGTTGATGTATTTATAAACTAGGATTCAAGGTTCAGGTTCTATCTCCGGTATCATGTTGATGAATCTAAGAACTAGGATTTAATATTTAAGTTCTATCTCCAGTATCATGTGGATGTATCTAAGAACCAGGATTAAAGGTTTCAGTTTTATCTCCGATATCATGTTGATGTATCTAAGAACTAGGATTAAAGGTTTAGGTTCTATCTCTGATATCATGTTGATGTATCTAAGAACCAGGATTAAAGTTTTCAGTTTTATCTCCGGTATCATGTTTATGTATCTAAGAACTAGGATTAAAGGTTCAGATTCTATCTCTGATATCATGTTGATGTATCTAAGAACTAGGATTAAAGGTTCAGGTTCTATCCCTGATATCATGTTGATGTATCTAAGAACTAGGATTCAAGGTTCAGGTTCTATCTCTGGTATCATGTGGATGTATCTAAGAACCAGGATTAAAGGTTTCAGTTTTATCATGTTGATGTATCTAAGAACTAGGATTCAAGGTTCAGGTTCTATCTCTGGTATCATGTGGATGTATCTAAGAACCAGGATTAAAGGTTTCAGTTTTATCTCCGGTATGATGTTGATGTATCTAAGAACCAGGATTAAAGGTTTCACATTTATCTCCGGTATCATTTTGATGTATCTAAGAACCAGGATTAAAGGTTCAGGTTCTATCTCCGCTATCATGTTGATGTATTTAAGAACTAGGATTAAAGGTTCAGGTTCTATCTCTGATATCATGTTGATGTATCTAAGAACTAGGATTCAAGGTTCAGGTTCTATCCCTGATATCAAAGGTTCAGGTTCTATCTCTGATATCATGTTGATGTATTTAAGAACTTGGATTCAAGGTTCAGGTTCTATCTCTGATATCATGTTGATGTATCTAAGAACCAGGATTACAGGTTCAGGTTCTATCTCCGCTATCATGTTGATGTATCTAAGAACCAGGATTAAAGGTTCAGATTCTATCTCTGATATAATGTTAATGTATCTCAGAACCAGGATTCAAGGTTCAGATTCTATCTCTGATATAATGTTAATGTATCTAAGAACCAGGATTAAAGGTTTCTATCTCCGGTATCATGTTGATGTATCTAAGAACCAGGATTACAGGTTCAGGTTCTATCTCCGGTATCATGTTGATGTATCTAAGAACCAGGAGCGGAGGTGAGTAGTGAACCTAAGGTTCTATTGTTCGGGTTTAGCGGGATATTAATATATTAACTCAGAACCCATTCTTCATCCAACCAGTCATTTATATTCCTAGAAAGATCCAGGGATGAGAGAGATTAGATTTAGAACGTAGGAAGAATAAAAAAGTTTACAGTGAGTACTATAGAATTGATTTCCATTAATTTGTACAGAATGAACTGTAGAGTACATATTAATTGATTTGTACAAACTATATTGGATTTTATAGCGTTTATTTGCATTAATTTGTGCAGAATGAACTGTTGAGTACACATTAATTGATTTGTACAGACTATATTGAATTCTATAGCGTTTATTTCAATTAATTTGTACAGAATGAACTGTAGAGTACATATTAATTGATTTGTACAGACTCAGGGAATCATACTACATCCAGAAATTTAACTCAGTGAGGTCAGGACTGAACAAGAAAATATAATGCTAATTGCAAACTTTAAAAAAAATGAATTAAGGGTGTTTTAAACTGTATGTTTATGTATTACCAACAGTACCTTATAGTGTTGATCGAATTCATGTATTTGACCGTTTTGCCGACGAATTCTACCCTTTTCAACACCCCCCTTTCCCCCACTGCATAAACCCATAAACTAGTTAATCCTTTTCCAGTCATTCAATACTCTTCAAAAGAGTAAGGTACGGTTTTCTAATTTTTCTTTAAAGTTTTATGTGTTTTGACAATATTTATTTTGAAAAATTCCTTATTGTAAAGGTTACAAAAAAAGATTTTTTATTTCTGTTCTCTTCATTGTTTATTTGAGTTGCTTTGTTTGTATTATTTATATTTATTTTTCATGCTTATATCTGTTATATTATAGGACGAACTCCTGATGATGCCAAAGTTTTTGGCGAAATATATTGAGAAGAAAATGAAATAACTCTAGTGCTAGAAAGTAGGGTTGGGATTTGTTTAAAAACGATCTAAAACATTGAATTTTATAGCTTTTATTTGCATTAATTTGTACAGAATATACTGTAGAGTACATATTAATTGATTAGTACAGACTATATTGAATTTTATAGCGTTTATTTGCATTAATTTGTACAGAATATACTGTAGAGTACACATTAATTGATTTGTACAGACTATATTGAATTTTATAGCATTTATTTCAATTAATTTGAACAATATTTTCCTTCGTTTTATAATCCGAGCTTACATGAGTAACCGTAATACAATTTACTTTAGAACCATTAACATGCTGTACGCGAGAGTATGTTTCTATATTCAACAACTGGCATTAAAGTATGTTACAAGGAACCATAAAATCTATGATATAGGGAAGAACCCAAATATGTATACGACGAACTACATTGTTTGAGATTTTTCTCATACAAAGTTTGATTAAGAAAATACATGAAAACACTATATCTTTGTTTATAAAAAAGGTTGTACTTCAAGTTCTGGGAGAAATAGTAATAAACTGAGTTTTGCTTAGTCTGATATTTGTCGAAAACACCTTTATGTAAACATAGATATATCCTAGTAT